GTTGTTGAAAAGGATACAACAAAAGTTGACAATACCTATGAGTTGCATACTTCACCGTTGAAGTTGCTTGGAGAGATTACAGGAGATCCAGGTATTGGCCTTTATCAACTATGCTTCAGGGAAACTCACGCAAGATTGCTGAATCATGTTTGTTTCAGAAAAGGTGAGATTTCCCATCCTCATTATCAGTCGAGGATCAACGAGAATGATTTTGTTCGATCCATTCGTAATATCTGTCCAGTACCTCCACCTGATTGTTATGAACATGAAGCAGAGCATGATTTGAAGAGATTCTTCATCAATGATGATCGCATCATTTATTTGGATGGCAAGTATCAGGTCGATCCAAAGGCCCTTGAAAGGGCAGGACATGCTCGAGAAGAATTGGAGGAGACGAAGAAGGAACTCAAGAAGGAACTGGAATCATATGGTCCTAAGGGACCCAGTTGGGACTTTGTCACCTTCTATGAAGAGCTGTGCAGAAGGTTCCTCAAGGGAAGAATAGAAGAACCATATGGAACTAACTTATTGGCCAGCTCAGAGTCCTTGACATTTTTATCCTGGAACTATGGCAACATGGTTCGTGGTCAGAAGTACACCACACCAAGGTTTCTCCAAGGACTTGATAGTGCAATGAGGCCACGCAAACAGAGCGCCATGTCACTTCAGAATGAGCAATTTGAGAACAACCTTTTCTTCAACATGCTCTTCTTTTTACGTGCACATGTCGTGATTCTCCAGGAAGCTCATCTTCTTGTTCCTGCCAAGGAATTTATTGGGCAAAAGAATTGGACAGTTTGCTTCAATGATTGGGAGAAATCTTGCAGTGATGGCTAGATTGGCACCAGGTGGATATGTCAAGATCATTGCTGGACATGATCAAGAACTTGGTCACAGTGAACAGCGTGATGTAACTTGGGCTATCTACGAGAATTGTTTTGGAGAAACAAGGCCTCGTCAAGATTTCAAGGATGCAGACTTTGAATTTGATGACTATGGTCCTGAGGACAAGCGTGTTCCACTTACTCGAGCGAACATGCATACCATCAGAGTCTGTAATTATCATGTTGATACACACCGTGCTGTGGATGCCCACCTACTGACAGGAGAACAGACAGCATTGATGCTTTACGAGTGTTTTGTCTATGAGGTGGACATCATTTCTGGTGATGCAAATAGTTTGGCCTACAGAATGTCTGGGTACAAAAGGCAGCCAATGGCTAACTACTATTACAGCACCATGCAGCATTGGATCCGCAGGTTTTCAGAAGCTCGTGTAAAAGCAGATCCTGGTATCAAAGCACCTATTCCCAGAACATTTTACAGTTCAACCTCACAGGTCCTCAAGAAGTGTGAAGTTTATTTTGATAAACTCTGGGAAGAATATTCTACGGTTGAAAAAGAAGAATACCAAGGATCACAGCTTGGCGATACATGTTTGTCTACCATTGTTGAATGGGGTCATTCAATGAGTGAAGAGGAATATGAAAATTCCACAGTGAGCACGAAGGAGTTCATCTGTAATTTTTCGGAGAACTTTGCTATGATTGACACGGTTATGTGCTCAAGGCCCACTGACGAGGACAGTCATGGTCCAATGTTTATTTCACTCAGACCAGCTTCCTTTTCATCTGGAGACAGAAGACAGTATCGCATGGGAGCAACGCTTCATGAGGCGAAACTGCGGAGGAAGGAGAAACAGAAAGAGAATAAAAGGAAAGGAAGGCCGCCAACTTCTGATCAAGCAGCTTCATCGTTTGCAGCGGCATAATTCCTGAGCGAAGGCTGAGATTTAAATGATGGCTAGGAAGTGAAGATACTTCTGGTTACAGTTGATACTTTGCTTCCAGGCTTGACTTTAAGTTGCCAGGCTGAAGTTTTAATAAATTCTGGTTTGCAATGAGGAGAAACTTTTTATCAAAGAAGATACTCCTGCATTCCAGGTTTATACGCTTTAGCATGTAGATAGGTATGGACAGTTTTGCATAACTGATGATATCTATCTCAGCCGCTTTTTCTGAGATGACCTCTAATGGACAACCAGTCATGGTTGATGATTAAGTCATTTCATGATTTGCAATTGTAGTGCAAGATTTTTTGTACATACATTTGCCGGTATCTCCTTCTTGTGTTTTTGATGTGAATGTGAAAGAGAGTCCTTTTGATGCAGTTTATTTTGTCTGTGGATGAAAGCGGTCGAGACCACGTCACGAGAAGATTATTCCTCGGACCGTACGCTCCTTGCATTTTGCAAGGCATTTTAATTAATTGCATTTGTGCGGTCTTGAAGTTTTTGTTTCCTTGTTACGCGAGTGTCGTTTGATTCTTTTATAGGTCTCTGTAGAGAAAAAGCCGCTTTCCCTTTTTAGTTTGATTTAGCTCAGGCCATAAAGAGCTAGTGAGCGCCGGTACATGGTATCTCCGCCTGTGAAAAGTACAGTCTCCAGCCGAGGTACATTATCATTTTGATTTTGTACTTGAGGTGAGTCAGCTATTGCTCCCTCACTGTATTTAGTAGCTTTGAGATTACCTTCTCTATAGTGTGAAACACACTGGATTAGGTAAGTACATGGCACCGTAGTTTTCTTTTAAGTTGTCAGAGCTAGCTGGACTGTTTTAGCCTTGCAGTAGAAAAAGAGTATGCGACATACGCAATCAGCTAGGAGTGGACATGAATCTTGTGCCTGCTGAAAAGTAGAGCCTACCTGTACAGGGTTCCACTCCAACAGCCGCTATAGTGTGTCCATGCTTGACTGCTTCAAGGCTCAAAGAGCAAGAGGATAAGACTCTGCGCGTAAAAGACACTAGCGGTCTGCACCTCTACCGTGTACGCCCTAGTCACTCTTTCACCCCCCCCCCCCCTTTCAACTCCACCCTGGCGCGCCTCGGGGTCAACGGTCCGAAAACACTGTAAATATCAGTGTTTTCAGCTCTTCCAGTCCTCAACAGTGACAAAAAATCATGGAATTTACAGCGTTTTTTGTGGCTGTCCGGCAAAAAACACCGCAAAAACCGATGGTTTTTGATGCGTCTCGGTTAGAAAAATGACCGAAAAAAATACCAAAAACCAGGAAAGATTTTGTCGGAAAGGGATTTTGAGGCTTTTGGAGGCTTCAAAATTGCACAAAACTATCGTATTTACAGGGTTTTGTGCACCTTCCCGGCAGAAAACGCCGGTATTTACATGGTTTTCTGCGCTTTTCCAGCACACAACCGTGGTGCGCCTCTGGATCGACGGCTGCAAAACACCGTAAATACCAGTGTTTTCAGCTCCTCCTGTCTTCAAGCGTGGCCTTAGACCTTGCCGCGGCTGTGGATCGACGGCAACAAAACCTCGTAAATACCAGTGTTTTTGAGCTCGTCCTGTTTGCAAGCATGGCCTGCGGCCACGCAATTTACAGGGTCGCAGCACGCCACTATGTAAATCCGAAGTTGCATTTGAGAAATATGTGACGTGATTGTGATTAGTTTGTGCATTTGTTTTTCTTTCATCACGCTCAGTCACTTCTCTTCAAACAAGTGGGGGGCCTCTCACCTCCTCCCGGATTACGCCTGACTCCCTGCTACCTTTCGTTCACCCCCCTCCTCTCTCAAGTTGCCTTTGGCTGCTTGCTGGTTGCTGCTGACGTGTTGGGGCATGAGCGAAGAGTTCGGTGGGGGAAGCGGGTGATGAAGAGTTTGGTGATGTTTGGTGGAAGCATGGCAGTAGTTGAGTTTTCCCTTTGTGCATCTTATATTAACTATACTATTGTCACGCTGCCCCAACTCGTGTCATGGTACGGTTGATGCCATTCATGCGGTTCAGGGTTGCTGCACTTGTTGCAACGCAACACTGCTGCTGCTGCTGCGGCTGCGGCTGCTGCTGCTGCTTGGCTGCTGCTGCTGCTGCTGCTGCTTGGTTGCTGCTGCTGCTGCTGGTGCTTGGTTGCTGCTGCTGCTGCTGCTGCTTGGTTGCTGCTGCTGCTTGGTTGCTGCTGCTGCTGCTTGGTTGCTGCTGCTGCTGCTTGGTTGCTGCTGCTGCTGCTTGGTGGCTCCTGCTGCTGCTGCTGCTTGGTTGCTGCTGCTGCTTGGTAGCTGGTGCTGCTGCTTGCTAGCTACTCCTGCTGCTGCTTCTGCTGCTGCTTGGTAGCTTCTGCTTGCTGCCGCTGCCGCTGCTGGTTACAGTTATTGTTGTTGTGGCTGTTGCTGCTGCTGCTGCTGCGGCGGTTGCTGGGGTGGTTGTGTGTTGCCATGTGTTGGCTGTGTTGGGGTATTGGGGGGGGCGCTGTTGGTACTCTCCTTTTCCCTTGGCCATGGCATGTTGCGATTCCCGGCCTGGCTTTTGCTGCCTAAAGGGCCCCAGCGTTGTTTTTTTGCCTAGCTTTCGCCACCCCCCTCTGGGCCACAAGTGTGAGGAACGCTGCCAGGACTGGATACTTAAATGGTGTGCGGCATGTACTGATTGTTCACCACACTGCAGAAAGACCGGCAAAATATGCACCGGCCAACAGTAACGTGCGCCACGATGAAATGGCGATTGTGGAAAATGTGCGCAGTGTTACAGTGTTTCCAGCAAATCTCGGAAAATGAAACGATAATTTGGGCACATGCTAGACCAATCTGGAACAATTTGCTGGCTCAGCGGGCCTCTCAAACTGATGCCTGAGGTTCCTGACCGACCGGCAGGAGTACAACAGAAGAGCGCAGCAGTGGACTACTCAGCATGCGTCGTAGAGGTTCCACAAGGTGCCGCTTGCGAGAACAACTCGCTTGAGCGGTTACCCATCCGCAAAATAAGTGCGAAACCAGTGCAGTGGAGAGAGTTTGAGAAGAGCGGGGGAAGAGAGTGGGAGACCCTGTACAATCCAGAATGAATCGCGCTTGTGTGTGGCTCATTTTTTTTTTCAAACTTTTTGCAGCTGCCACCCTTGCTTGAGCCACAGCAACCACCCACATGGAACCTACAGTACTTCTCAGTGCACATGTGTCAAACATACTGTAGCTCTATGTTTGTGCCAACACGCTGAGCAACATACCCTTCTGATTCTGTCATGACGCAGCTCGGGCAATGACTTCGTGTCGCCCTTTTGAACTGTTGTGGAAGAGGAATTTGACACCATCAGAGCCTCGGCAAGATGACCCAGAAATTGTCAACGAGAATCGCTCTACTTTGTCATTTTTGCGGAGCAGTTGGAGTTGTGTGGCATTGTGGCACAGGGTAGATTTGCACCAGGCTTCCCTGCTGCGATTTGCTGTGGCTGACGGGCTTCCTCTAGGAGGACATGGACGAACTGCTCCCACAGGAGGGGAGAACGTTCCAGGGCGTTCTTGGGAGATTTGCTGACTTTGAAGGTGTCAAGGTCCACGTTCCTGCAACTGGACTGGAGAAGTCATATTCTCCGGTGTCGCATCCCGCACAGGCCTGACTGAACCATCTTGAAATCACACTGCTTCAGCGAGTGGGGAGCAGGCTGGATCACTGCTTCAGCGAGTGGGGAGCAGGCTGGATCGTTTGATCTCCTGGTGAAAGCCTACCCACCTCGAGCTGGAGGAGGCGTTGGGGCTTACATATGTGCCTTGCAGCCTGGTGAGAAGGCGCTGATGAATCATCCCAGCGTTTAGTTGCTTTTGGAAGTTGAAACGTCTTTGGAGTCAATGCACAATGTGCCTCATTCCTAGAAGTTGTAGAAGTCGATGTTGATGCTTCCCAATGCCCATCCAAAGTTTCCCCACTCCTGAGTAATCTGATGCCATGGCTCCCCTGCTCAGGAAAGTCAAGCCTGATACTTGGCACGCGAGTTCAGCCAAAAAGCTGTAAGTAGATACAAATTATCGAGGCCGAATGGCAGGTTGAGAATTTCAGAAAAGAGTCACATGACTCATAGTTGCAGTACATGTCGACACCACTGATCATTTGGAAAAGAAGCGTGTTGACACATTGACCAATAAGGCCGAGTTTGGCTACCTAGCTGGTGCTCCATTGTCGCCTGGACGTTGGAAGCAGATTGGTTTAGTTGCCTGCGGGACAGGCCTGGCTCCACTATATCAAGTAGTGCCTCAGCAAAAGTGCGGCTAGACACAATATAGCCTTTGTTGAACTCAACGCATTGCAGTACAACAGTACAACTACTTATATATTTCCATTTATATCCATTGATGTACTTCCTCTGAAAAGGCAGGGCGATGATAGTGCTTGCTGCCAAAAAACTCGTGGAGACATGCTCCTGAATATAGCCTGTGGAAAGCTGTGCGTTGACGATTTTGAGGGGTGCTTTTGGAAGGTCATCAATAAGTCACGGGCTCCAAAAAAGGTCGTACATGTCTCGTTCACAAAAGTTTTGACTTCAGTCAAGCAATATAGTCTGTGGCAGGTCCAATGTCTCAAGCGGAACGCCGCTTCCCCAGCAATATGTATAAACCGTCTTTATGTCAACAACCCAAGTAAGATCGTTTTTGTCAGACGCACTTCAGTGCACAGATGGACCTGCCTCTTTCGTATGCTCATCAACAGCAACCTCCGACGATTCTGTATTTTGGGGACAAGATTCGAGTCACTTATACTGATACTGATGCGACGACAATGCAACTGCAGCGTGCCAAACAACACGGCGACATTCGCAAGCCGCAGTTCCTCAGCCGTTACGCGTATGAACTGAATATGACATGCCACCATGCAGACTGACAACCTACTCAAAGCCTTCATGCACCTGTGCTTTGCAGCCCGGAGACATGTTTAGGCGTTGATTACAGGGCATATTCTTTGCAGCACCGCTGTTCTCAGCGTCAGGGTTGAGTTCAGTGATTGGTTCTTGGTCACGCTCAACGCGTCTGAGGCTACCCAAGTTTTGGCTTGGAACAGTGGCACCAGAACCATGCCTCAAGGTAAGTAGCTCGCTGCTTTGGGTTTCCTACGCTGCTCAAGTTTGGAAAGATTCCTTTGCACCTGTGGTCACCTTCGAGGAATATCTATGGTGCTGGCATGCAGGACTGAGGAGGATATATTGATGCGTGAGGAAACTTGGCCAACTTACCCTTATCGGCAACCAAGCCCTTTGAAACCCTTTTGATGAGAAAGTTCCGAGTTACGCAAAGTTGCACGTGACACATTAGTGATAGAAGAGGTGTGCAAAAGGGCACCTGGACGGGTGACAGGGGTTCGTGTTAGTTCTTCCTCACTTAATAGTGTGTGGCGCAGCTTCACGAGAAACGGAAGCAGAGAATGCAAGAGGCACTGGCGCGGCCTGGTGCGGAAGGCTCCCAAGTTTAGCAGGCGCGAGAGAGACAGTGCTATAGGTGGACCATGTAATATAGGCAAAAACAAGGACCTTTGCCATCCAACGTAGGCTAAAGCTACTATGCCAGCCGCCCAGTTCTCGCCCAATGTGTTTTGGCCTTCCCTTTCACTTTGGCATTCCGCTGCTTGCCGCTGCCTGCCAACCACAAGTGCATGAATGTCAATTATGTGACATGGTCCAAAGATGCTTAAACGGCTGCATTCAAGAACATGCCATCAGCGCAACAACTCCGCAGAAGAGTCAAATCAACATCAAGCCAAGCATGGCACAGTCTTCGTTTTCCTATCCGAACCCAGGACAGGAAATTATGAAACACCGGTAGGCACTCCACACCCGAAGTCCACGTGTTTTCCTCTCACTGACGCCCAACTGCACTGTGCTTCAGGAGGCAAACTTGGGGATTTCTTTTCATCCAGAGATTTCTGAGCTGATGTTCAGGCATAAGCAGGATGCCAAGTAGGGGAAGTTGCGCTGCCAAGGTCCACACATTTGTCTGCACAGAGCACAGGGAACCAAAAGAACAGCAAGTCATGAAGTTCAAACGGCACCAGACACGACTTCCAGCCATCAAAGCCGAAGCGCAGTACACGCAACTCCAGAGAGGCGGCTTCCAATTCAAATCCTCCTCCATCAGACGGGCCAAGGCACATTCACGATCTTGGTCTTGGGAACGTTGCAGGGGCACTCTGCATAAGGGAATCACTCCACACCCCAACCCCTTCCAGTTGAACATGTTGTTCCTTGAGTTCAGGTGGTATCTTTTGTTTTGAGCAGGTGTTCTTTGCTCAGGAGCCGCAACCTTGCTTGCACCCTGCCCACCCGCCCCAGATGGGAGCTGTGGTGAAAGCGCGAAGCTTTAGGAACCTATCGCACCATCCCAATGGATGGTTGTCTAGGGGGCCAGGGTTGGCGCCAGGCCTGAGGTGCTCCCAGCCCGGCACGCTGTTTTAGGGAAGAGAGGGTTTGGGCTAGGAGTGATCATGAGATCCATCGCCAACCTCATCGCAAAGTGCAATCTGGCTTTGGAGATGTGGTGAATCGGTGAACTAGGATTCAAGATCTTCTCGTGCAGCTGTCCTTGAAGAAGAACCCAAGGAAAAGCGTGCGCCGAACAGTCACCTACTTCCGGAACCCCAAGAAGCGGAAGCATCATGACTCCAGAAACAGCAGCTGCCTTGTTGGATATGGGTTTTCCTTTGCCTTTCTCCCACCAACCACATGGGATGAAACCACATACCAGCACAGGCCAACAGGAACGACTGCATTGTTTAGCCCAGCCTTTGGACCAGAGGACAATGCCGAGGCAGAATCGAGCTTGCAGCCCGCGTTTGCTTCGGACCCTTGTGGCGCCAGAGAGAAGAGGCCCTTGCAGTTACAAAGTGTGACGTTGCACAAGGGCGATCAATGTTGTTTCATGGGTGAGGTATGAGTATGTCTAACCAGAGCAAACGCTGCTTGCTTCAAAGTTATGACAAAATGTTGTCCAGGAGCGCCACTGCACAAGCACGAACCGCTGATTGGCTTTGCAATTGACTTTCATGGCAATACTGTGTTCAAAACTGCCTTGGCTCAGGCGCTGGGAACAGAACCAGACAGGAAGACTGCCTGGCGCATGAAATTTGCGGACGACGCGAAAGCTGACAATTTGTTTTCGCAGAAAGTTGAGATCGAACTTGAAAACGAACAGTGCGTTGGGGGGGTTGAGAAGCTCCTGGCAGTCAGTGAAGAAGGTCGCCGGATGGGCAGCAGTTGGTCGTACATTGCGGCGCGCGTTGCAACTGTGCATGACGCAAGTTGAGCAGATGTCGAACATGAAAAGTTGGTTGGCGTTGGGCATCTACAATGCAATACGAGCTGGAGTCTTTCCAAATCTGCGTCAGAATACCAATTGAAGAGCAGACCAAGTTGGATTCATTGGACTGGTTAGAAGGAGCATTGGAAAACTACAAGTCGTATGAAGCTGAGGCCGATCCCTTTTCAAGAAGGAGTTGGACAAGCGGTTTGTGAGTTGGAGCAAAAGCAGAAGAGAGCTCGAAATTGAGCACGGTCAACTTGTTCCCTTGGCTGTAGGCTATATAGCGAAGTTGAAGCTCGACGGTGCAGCAATTGGTGCATGATCTTTGTCGAAGTGGTGTGAACGAGCGCATTGAGTTTGATGAAAAGATTACTGTAGTGCTCCACAGACTGAGGAAAACGTTCTGAGGCTCCTGGAGGTCAAGGAGCCATCGGAGAAAGTGAGCCCCATGAGTTTTGGGGGGCTGGTTTGAAGACAAAACAGTGTTGTTGGGAATACGAACTGGGCCCTTGGTCTGTGGGAGGGAGGATGGGAGCATTGATAGATAGGCAGAGCACAGTCGGTGTTTCATGTGGACGGATGCAGGCCCCGCATCTTCGTTGGCGGCCCCTTGATGGTAGCAAGGGGGACAGGACAGCAGTTGAGCAACATACGCAATAGCATCCTGATGTCTGATGTGGCGGATGGCGCTGTGTTTGAAGATGGCTTACAGAGGTTGACTAGATTGGAGCGAAGTTGCACATTGACAACGAGGCATTGACAGTGACAGTCTCGGGTACAGGAACGAAGCTTGAAGAGTGGAAGATCCCGTGTGAGGCCTTGGAAACAAGGCCACTGGTCTCCAGGAAACCTCTCCAAAGGTATGTCCTGGGATGTTCTGGGCATCGGGGTTCATACCCCAACTACGCCCCTTTGTGAGGATGTTGCGCGCAGCCTTAGCAACGCAAACGCCGCAGCTTGAAGGAAGGTCGGCAGTCTACTATTGCAAGCAAATCGAGCCGGCGTTGGCTTGCATCAGAAACTTCCTATGGTGCTATGGCAGTCATGGGCCTGGGTTGTGCAGAACAATACATGCACATGCAAGGCATCAGTGCAGGTTGGAGATTCTGGTTGATGCTTCACAGGCGGAGAGACGGCGAACCAAGAGAGACCTTCACTTTGATCCGGACAGAGGCGAATGAACGCTGGCTGGATGCTTACATGATGCTGCGCTGCCTAGGGTTCATTCGCATCCATGAGGATGCACTGCCAGCATTCGTGAAGATCACAAGCGGGCAGATGCCCTCCAGCCAAGGAGCCGATGGTCGTCCAGAGGGGCGAGCGCCGTGCGGACAAGCAGTGTGCTTCGGTCGACTTGAGCGAAGCAGTTGACGAGGGGCCGGCAAGGCCTTTGGATGTCAGCTTGTTGTTTGCCCTGTTCGCCTGCCGAAGCCGGCCTGCGCATCGTCAAGCGCGTGACCATTACTGACCATGTGCAAGGTTGTGGCCAAGTCTCGACGCCGTGATGGCGTGGTCGGGGCCCAGGCCCAGGCACAGTGGAGGCAGGGCATGGGGAGGAAGATTCCTTGTGACCAACACGAAAAGCCGGCCTCTACGAAAGCTGCGCAATGATCACCAAGCAGGGACAGTCCGACCTCTGGGCAATTTTTAGCTCGAATGGGAGTTGAACATTAAAGGATTCAACTCTCTTGCTGTTGGGGGAGCGACGCAATTTTGAGGTATCTACGGCGTCTGAGAGTCATCGCAATGGCTAGCGGCTAGCAAAAGGCCTCATGTTGGGTGAAGTTGTGTAGAGGTCTGCGCGGGCCTTGAAGATCAAAGACGATGACGAAAAGAACAAGAGGAAGATGGAAAAGACCATTTTTGAGGCACTGGAGACTCGGGGTCGTGAAGCTCTGCAAGGTGTGGTGAAAGCCAAAGAAGCCGAGTCCGAGTCCGCCAAGGATGAGATCGAAATGATTACGAGAGCCCCACCAGAAGTCAATGAAGATGAATGAGAAATGGACCTTTGTAAAGAACAGGTCAACCACTGTAGTACTTCACACTGTGAAGGACCCGCGCGCCGTATGCAACAGGGTGTGGCCATGAGTACTACAAAAATTTGAAGGACATCAAGTTTTGTGAACGAAATCACAAACCCAGACCTCTCAAGATGATGCCAAAAAGCTGTAGGAGTCAGCATTCGCAAGGAAAAGGCCAAGATTGGGGGTAGTGCAGGGGGATGTGAGTGTGACCTCAAGCCCCAATAGCCCGGAGCATCGGGCAGCGTGGACAGGTACAAGCTGGGGCTGAATGAAGGCTGCTCCTCCCAACCTGTACGCTGGAACTCGGCCGTCGCTGAGAAGGCGGGTCTAAACGCGCGCCGACAAAAGGGGCCGAGTGGGATGGGAATTCTTTTGCGTCTCGGAGCCGTGATTGTTGAGTAAGCGAACATGGCCGAAGTAACATGAAACGGTTAGAATAATGGGGCGGCTTAGGCTTGTGAGAGTTGAGTTCCTTTGTTTGGGAACAATTGGAAGGCTCAAGTTTTGAGCCTTCCCCCACCGAATCCCTCCCAATACTCCGTTCTCAGTGAGGGTGACCTCAAGCCCCAACAAACCGGAGTGGACAGGTACGAGCTAGAGCTGATGACCGCTGCTCCCGACCTGTACGCTGGAAGAGAAGGCGGGTCTAAACGCACGCCGCCGTGCCATTCTCGGTATCTGCCCTGACACCACGGCAGTATCTGCAACAGGGAGCACTACACCGCCAAGTCCGTCATGCAGCGTGTCCAACACATTGACTGCAATGTGTTTTGCAAAATCTTCGCACATGGCTTCAGCACATCACCCGCGCGGGAACGCATGAACACTTCAAAAGATTTCCACCCTTGAAACTTCTGCCCATCAGCTGAGCCGGAGCCGTGTTTGTGCATTTGTGGTGCAGCCTTAAACCTTTTGCAGATGCCCTGCTTGCCCAACATGTTTCACCAAATGGCTGCGCACTACAGACTTCTGTTATGCGGTGCGTCCCAACATTGTTGCAACACCCAACATCAACACTTTGCCTGTCAATGTTTGTCATACTTGGTGTTCGTGTTGGTGCACAGGCGCGTGCCGCAAAACTGATGACATGATGTGATGCTTTGGCAAACTGACCCTTTTCCCACCAGCCAGTCTGAGGAACTGGATTTGATGGTTCGAAACCCTTGCTTTCGTCTTCACACCCAACTGAGCATGCCAACAGGAGGGTGGTGTGGCTCCAAGTTTCAGCAAAGAAACGTTTTGGGTAGTTGATACGTTTGCCAATGATAGGGGCACAATGAAGGCCAGCCAAGTCAAGCGGACGGATCACAAGCAAAACGCTGGGGGACTGTCTTCCGGCTCCCGATGCTAGTCCTGACCTTGGCATTGCGTGCGTGACGGTATCCTTACAGTTTGTAAACCATGTGTTCGTTGGTTGGACGTGTGCTCATGAAGTTGCAGCCCTTCAAGCGCCTACAGTGCTACAGGTTCGATGATCCTCGTGTGCGGCACGGACGGCTTTGTGGACACTGTTGCGGGACCCATCCAGCGAATCACACTGCCAAATGGGCAAAAAAGGCGAGGGGGGAACTCATGCAGACGACATATTGCATCTTGAACTTGTATTGTAGAGCTAATTCTGCCGAAAGGAAATGCCAAGGGCCCCTTGGAGGTTTTTTGGCAGAGTTTGGTCCTCAGCCGGAATAGAAGTCAACAGTTTCTGATGAACTCACATGTGCTGCCAAGGCTTGGGTATGTTCCAGAGCAAGTGCACAAGTTTTGATCATCGCCATTCCTTTCGTTGGAACAAATGCGTCGGACATGACATGTCACAGCCAAACTTTGATGATTGTTTACCTTGCGATTGCTCCTGATAATAACGCGGACCAGGCCCAAGTGAATGGGATGTTAGTTGTGCAAGGTAGACTCACTACAGCCCAAAACTCAATAGCCCCACCTGCTAAGGCCATAATAATATAGTCAAAAAAATTACATTGGTGCAGACATGAGAGTGAGAAGACAGGCAGGACCTTAGCAAGTAGATTTAACCAACTAGCTACATCAGAGTAAGATTGACCACACGTTGACAAGTGCTGACATGATTTTGAATTGTGACTCCGCCATTGTCCGGGACTTATGCTAGCACGATTGCACCAACTGTTGTGTGAGTGTGGATGCTTTTGCCTGGGTCATTTGAGGCAAGAACACCTTGAACAGCAAGGTGGCAGGACAATGGCCTTTGGTGGGAATGTTTGGCCCCAGCAGGAGTGGAATTGTTGGATGGTTTTGAAGCTGTCCACGTGAGCATTCAAGTCAAATGTTTCCCAGCTCTTGCTTACGAACATGCTCGCAGCCATGTAGCCCTGGCAAAGTACATGAAGATTGTCATGAACAGAACTTTTACTCACTCGTATGCGACACGGCCAGGGAGAGAAAGAGGGGAGCACAATGCCGAAGAAGAGAGAAAGAAGACAAGAGAAAACAACCGTGCAAGTGTCACGTTAGGCATTTTTTTGACTAAATTCATGGCCATGCGACGTGGCAATGCTGCCAAGCCAAACTGGTGAGCGTTTAGAACCTCTTGGAGCAAGTGCGGTGGTTGGTGTTTTTCCTGCTGGCCTGAAGGTGCTGGCCTTCTACCATTCAAACTTGCACCCTTCAGGTCATCGTAGTGTTCACATTTGCTCCGGCTGTCACCTGCAACCTTTGAGTGGACTATCATCAGGTTGGTTGCCAGCAACGGTACTGAAGAGCAAACCTCCAAATGAGGACTTTGTGATGCTACGATTTGCTGGGCCATTTTGTGACCCTTTGTATGGGATGGCAAACTCCATAGATTTGAAGGTACCTGTACGCTTGGTGAGGTGCCTGACCCCACAAACCCAGATGCCACGGCCGCTTCTATCTGTCCTTATTGTGCGATGGTGGGACTATCAGGTCAATCCAACCTGGTCGGACTACTGCGTAACCAACGATGGCATGCTTTTGGACCTGGTGGATGGTCCATACGGAATTATGCTGCTGATCCCTGGTGAGTTTGAAGCCTACACGGTGTTTGTGAAACGTTCAGAAGACTTGGACGTGAAAGGGCTAGAACACTGGGCGCAAGCGGTGCTATGGGGAGTAAACACAGTGGTGTGGTACTTTGTGTGGCCTTGCCAGCGCTCTGATGCAGATTCTGTTGCGGGCTGTGTGAGCGAGCGGCAGTTTTTCACCTTCCAGAGAAGGATGGAAAGGCTTGGCCTCAGAAGCGGCTGGCCTCATCCTAGCACTTTGTATCAGCAATTGTGTGGCAAGCTTTGGATTCCGCAAATGAGCCTTCAACGGGAGTGGCGCATTCCCCCAACTGTCAAGGTTCAATATGCTGATGTGACAAGGGATGCTCGAGCTGCAGCAAAACGTGCCATTCGCTCCCTTTTGCTGATTGGCGGTCAGATTGACACTTGGGCCACGCCTGCTGACGATTGCTTTGATTCCTTTCATGGTGTGGTGAAGCTCGGCTTCAGCTGGCAGGGAGATGATGTCCTTCCATTTGTTGGTATTGAAAACTTGGCGAGGGTGTTGCGCCGGCTGCTGAATCAAGGAAGCGAGCCTTTGAACTGCTTGGATCCTTGCACGGCAGGGGTTAAGCGATAGTTGGATAGCTATGTCAAGGTGTTGAAACCCCAGTCTAAACTAGTGTTCTAGAAAACAAATATAGTTTCACTCGGCATATACTTTCAGTTTTTTTACATTGGAGTTGCGCGCCCTCATAGGTACAGGGATTAGTACGAGATGTTGTTTGTGAGCATCGAGTGGTTTGCTTTCAAGATGCGTGCAGAGGGCCAGAGCAGTTTGTGCGAGAACACCTGTGGCTGAGAATGAAACGTCGAGGCGAGCATCACAATCACCAAGCCACTTGATTTTGTTTTGCGTACGCTGCTGCATTTAATCATAATGGCTTTTGGCACCATGCCCGGGGAAGTATCAGGTAGCCGCTAGTCCGCTAGTCCTGTGCGAGCTGTACTTGTACTTGTTGGTGCTTGTTGGAATTTCCCTGTGGATCCCTGGCTGCAGCTTAGGATGCCTGCGAAGTTCAACATTTTGCACTAGCATCTGCGAAAGCCGTTTCAAACTCTGAGGCAGAACGCATTTGTTTAGTTGGTTTGGTTGTCCACCGGTTCAAGCTGACACATTGGGCTCAGATGAATTTCAAGCTTGTGCTGGACTTGTGCCGTGAAGCACCAGCCAATTTGTTCTAAAGCTTCAGTCCCGCAAAGAATCTCAAGACGAGAGTGTGGCAGGCCACGCGGGATTTCTTTGGTGGACACGAAGAAGCTACGCAAAAGGTTCTTACCGATACTGAACCTCGGCTTCATTGCGATGCCTCAATTGAGATTTGCCAGTTGACCTGAGGATTTGTTGGTGGACAAGTGGTTGACCTGGTTCTTGACAGAAGATGCAGAGCCGCCTCCTGTTACCAGGCTAGATTTCCTCGTCTCCTGGCGCGACGGTGCTGATCCGGGTGCACCTCAGGTTCGGTAACATTGGCAGTGTTTTGAGTGTTTTGGGCTGCAGCATCTTCAACAGATACTGTCAAGTGCATCATGACCGTCCTAAGGTATGGACTTGTGAGGTTGGAGAGTGTGGTGCATCCCTTTGCTCTGTAGAATGCGATGCTCGCAACTGTGCGACTTTGAACTGGGCTATTCGAGACGATCCTTCCTTCAGATTCCCGATGGCATTGCCAAGAATTTGCAGCAACTTTGGCTTCGCAGCATTTTTTTGTTTATAGGGACTTAGCCACCTCTCTGGACTCCGGATAGTTCTTTGGCATGTGGTGTGCTCGAAGGAAACAATGGCTGGAAGTCTTGAGGCCAAACAGCATCCTTCTGTTGCAAGGGAGCAGAGCGGACACGAATGGCCGCACCAAAGCTTGCCGAGGTGGACTTGACCCATTTTGCACCTGCATCATTGAAATACATGACCTCAATAAAGTGCAGTGCGAAGCCGATATTGGTCATTTTTGTGATTACGCAGCTGTGCCGTCATCTCCGAGCTGAAGCCTTCCATCCTCCTCACAGTTTGCTCGATGCGTTTGCAAATGAAAAGGCCCCGCTGGATTGGTTTCACATCCTTTGCTGAGCAAGGTCTGAGTAGGGTGGTTCAAGGGCAGACTGCTGCAGACGAAGCAGCATGGCTGGCTGTGATTTTGCCCATGGCCTGCCCCATGTTTTCGCCGACAGGACACGCTTCGCCTTCTGAGCTTCCTAGAGGCTTGGGCTTCAAGTTGATGAGAGGCATTCCGTTGTCAGTTCCGAGGCTAGACACCTTGAACCTGCTGTTGCTGCAGGGATCCTACTTTGACATTTGCAGTAGGTTCACTGTGTTTGTTGAGAGGAGATTGCCTGAGAGCTCGTTTGAATTGATGAGTGTATTTGTGTTGAAATGTGTTGAAGAGCGAGGCTAGCAGGTCTTCAAGAGGGCAGCTCCAGGACATTTTTGAGCTGGAGTTCCTTGTATTTGTGGCAGTTGATGTGGAACTTGTAGGAGCCGTTGGTCCTGTTTCGGAGCATGGGGGACCCTGCAAAAGCATTGGAGGCCTTGTGGGCTATCATGGATTCAAGCACGCCAGTGGACATATTCGTGTGCAGTGTGTACTCAGTACTCCAGGCCTTCGAGATGCAGCAGGCTGCGCGGTTCTGTGACACGTTGCAAATGAGCAGAGGACTAGATTCTAGATGTTTGCCCACCTCCATTGTGCACATGACAGGCACTGCGTGATCTGGAGACAGTGCTTGCAGAAGCTCACGAGGCGCACTGTTGTGCTAGCTGACCTTGATTAGAGAGCGTAGTGGTGTATACTATCGCCTGCGGAAACTCCGAGTCGTTGTGTTCGAGCTTCAATGAAGGACGGCAGTGGTATTGCAGGGCAATGCACCTAGATTCCTTGAGCTGGTACTTATCATCAGGCAAAAACAACCAACAAATACTGAGGTGGGAAGCAGCATGGAAGGCAGGAGCGAACGGAAGCCATTGTTGAAGACGTTTGAGCCTTGCCGCCTTTCCAGGCTCTGGAGGTGCTAGAGGCTACATTGCAAACAGAAATGCAGGAGCCTGAGCAGACACACACACACACTGGCCACTGTCGAAAAGGCGGGCATTGTGTTAGATGAGGCGATACATCTACGGGCCAGATTGGGAGGCATGTCTGCTGTCTCCTGAAGAAGAAGTTGTGCAAAGCCATTCCGCCATCACCCTTGCAGATCAAGCCCGGAAAGCTTGTCTCAAGGAAAGGTACTTGGTTGAAGTCGTCGCTGGGCCTAGTGAATTGGCTGTGTGGCTTCCCCTCCCATATATAGAAACATTTAACTTGCACCCATGCTCTTACTCCAAGGACTGCTCGGTTCTCATGGGAGCTTTCAGAGGCAAAGCACCAGACATTCTGCTAGGTTGCAATTTAAGCTATGCAAAGCAGCCATCGCTAAAATTTGTGAGGGAAAGGGGGAGAAGATGTACTTGCCATGTGGTGCTTGGTGCTCAGCTTCTATCAAAGTCTGTCTCAAGGACCAAATCTGCCAATGCAAGCGACCAAACCTCCGCAAGGTGGCTATGCCAATCCTTCAAATCGGAAGGGCCTTCATCTCAAGATTGGAACTCTAGTGGTTCTATATATCCTGTATATATATATATATCGTATATCTATTAAATAGTGGCTTTGCTCTAGCTTTCCTAGCTTTCTTCCAAGTAGATGAGTGCAGGTCACTGATCCGGAGGAGTTGAAGCTGCATGATTGGGAATCTTGGCATACCATTAGAAGCCAAATTTGGACACGCAAGCTTTGGGAGCCGAGGTTTGTCAGCACTTGAGAGTATGGATGAAGCCTGACATTGTCAGAACAGTCCAGGCGATTCGCAGCATTTTGGCAAAGCACTGCTGCCTTTTTCGCGCAAGATAGTGGGCTCCTTTTGCGTTCTCAAATGCCGTAGGCGAGGCATGGCATTTGGTTTGTCTATTGGCATCACTTCGAGGAGATGAAGGGAAATGTAGGAAGAGGGAGAGTGGGAGCGAACTGAACTGAAGCCATTCGGGAATGACACTTCATATATCATCTAAGTCTACATCGCCAGCATCCTCTCCGCAAAGTTAGCGCATCGAGAGAGCTGAAGGCACTGGAGATTGAATCATGCAATTAACAGTATATAGAGGGTTTTGGAGCTAGCTAGATCAGGTCACCATGGCTGCCACACTCGGCTGATGCAGCACATAGTGCCGCATAGCGCTTGTATACACTATATACCTTATATAACGTTAACTTTTGCCGCCATGATTTCGGAACGTCTTGCTGAAGGCAACGAAGCCTGGCCAAATTGATGCCATGCAAGCTTTTTCGAAACGAGGGCTTTATGCTGGTCCCGTCAAAACTGAGGACAAAGAGGAAGCCCCTTCAGCTATGTCCAGATGTGAGGACACAGATATTTGCCTCGGCTCAACTTCGACTAAAGTGGCTCAGAGATGACTCAAATCATGCAAGCTTGCAAATTTTAAGCATGTTTTTATACACATGTTTTGTCCTGTTGAAATGGGCGTGCACACACACAGACACAACGTCTAACGCAGAGGGCCGGTAGGCATGCGTCGGACCTGGGTTCAATCCCCGCGCGAAACACTAGGCGGCACCCCTGCAGTTAAGGATGTGAGCTAGGACCTTTAAACACACAAAGAGTAAAACGCGACGCAGCTCATGTAAGGTACATGAAATGCTCTGTTGTTTTTCGCTATCTACTAGGGTGGAGGCCATCGCTAGTAGGTTGGTATTGATATTTTCCAGAAAGCGCAGGAACATCTTGGAGTTGGTATTGTTGTTTCTAAAACAGCCCGGGAATTTCTAAGCAGTGTTCAGCCCATCAGTGCTCGCAATATTTGTGCTCAATTTTTGATGCAAGTTGGTGTTTTAGATGTTGTTTCCACATATGCGCCTCAGGCTTGCCACCAAGATACTGAGAGCAATTCAACGCACTATCATGAACTTCACACTGTCTTGGACACGGCTTATGCTTACTCCCCTAAGACTATCCGCGGCGATTTCAATGCTAGACTAATTAAAGCGCTCCCGAACGAGCGGACTGCTATAGGACCTCATACTTTTGGAGCTAGCACCCACGAGTTGACTTTTGATGACTTTTTTGAGTGACTGACAGCTTGCCAATCGCTCCAACATGGTTGAATTCTGTTTAGAACATGGCCTGGTGGTAGCCAATACTCTTTTTCAAAAGTCTCCTGAACATCTTGTTGCGTACCTCTCTGGTGGAGTTTCTCAGTGGGGCCATCCTTTTCATTTTCACAAGTACGCTCAACTTGACTTTATGCTTGTCAACTCCCGGTGGAAAAACTCTATCCTGAACGTTTCCTCAACTTACGTACACGCCTTAGACACAGATCACAGGCTTCTTAAAACTGATGTCAAGTTCAAACTGAAAGCTAAAACTCCCCCCCAACCGGTCAACACCCTGAAGTTCCACACCCCAAGCCTTGCACAGTCGAGCCATTATAACACGATCGTTGCTCAGGTTGTCGCCAACCGGTCCAGACCAGACGATGAGGTTCAGCTCACTTTTGACGAGCTAAATTTTATTGTCCTCCACAGCGCATCAACAGGACTCCCATGTCGTCACCCTGCGCAGAAAAGTTATATTCCAGCCGCCACCTGGTCCCTTCTTAAAAAGAAATGGGAAGCTGTTGAGAGCCAAGACTGGGAAGCAGCTAGAACTCTTGATCGTAACATCACTGTCCAAGTGCGCCAAGATAGAGAATCACATTTACTTAGGCAACGAGAAGAACTTGATCACTCCGGTTATCGTTGGGATGGGTAGAAGCGATTACGAGCCAAGTTCACGCCGCATTTCGCGATGCTGATGGGAGTTTCATTCCGTATGAGTTATACCCGGAAAAACCGCTGAATATCTCGCTACGAAGCAATGGGGAAGACCGGAAAGTCCAGATGCAACGCCCTCAAGCAGGATCCACAACCCGCTCAAAACGGTGCATATGTTGTCGATGACTCTCCTTTCACTATGGCCGAACTCGACTATGTTCTTTCCCGCTCCAAGCCCAATAAATCACCCGGATTTGATGGAGTACCCCCCGAATTGTTCAAGTGGCTGGATCAGACCAACCGTCAACTTGTCCTTGCTGCCGCAAACAAAATGTCTAGCAGCTGGGGATCTAACGTCATGCTATAAACTTGTAGCTGCCTTAGTGAAAGAGCGGCTAGACAAAGGTTTGGATAGGTGGCTCATGCAAACGCAATATGGCTTTCGGAAAGCCAGAAGCACTGCTCAGGCTATTTTCTTAGCAAGACGTATTCAAGACCTTTCTGAAAAATCGCACAGTGCCAGGACCCTCATTCTTCTTCATTGGGAAAAAGGCGTTTGGTAAAGTGTTCCAAGATAGAATGATTGAAGCCTTGTTTCGATTAAAGGTCCCCCACCGCATAATCGGTCTTATCCAAAGCTTTTATAGTATAGGGAACCCAAATTCAAGGTGTCTATGAATGGGCAAGATTCCTCTTGAAATGCCAAGGTGCGGGGATCCGTCAAGGATGCCCATTATCCCCATATCTTTTCTGTTTGGTCATGGGAGCATTGTTTGCTGATTTGAAGCAAGAACTGAACACCCCCAGACAACAGAAACCAATAAACGATAATAAACGGCATTCATTTTGCTGAAATTTTGTATGCTGATGACACTTTAATCTTCGGTGCCAATACTCATTGCATTAATGCTCTACTACATGCTATCGAATGACATTCTGCATATTTTGGGTTAAAACTGAACTGTGACAAACGCGTAAATCTCACCTCTAACCAACTGCAATCCTCCGTTCATTTCGCACCGAATGGCCCAGCACAAGGTGCCAAGGTTACACGGAAAAACTCTGCTACATATCTCGGCACCCTGTTGTCGGACTCCTTTGACAACCGGGCAGAGATCTCCAATAGACTGAGCGACTGCATAGCAACGTGTAACAGTCTTAAGATATTCTGGTCAAAGCTAACACCAGTGTCAAATGGAAAATACAAGTCTTCAACGCTATTGTTAGGTCTAAACTTCTCTACAGTCTTGAATGCATACAGCTAACTATATACTGCTGATATATCTCGCCTCAATGCCTTTCAAAACAAATGTCTCAGAAGGATCTTGGGAATCCCTCCAACGTTCATTGATCGGGAACAAACAAACGCTCGAATGTACGCTAGCATCCAGCAGGAGCATGGATGTACTTTTGAACCTTTCGGGCAGACATGGAAAAAAACAAAATGCCGCCTCTTTGGCCACATTTTGAGGGCACATAGGTCGGATCCGCTGGTCCAAGTCGTTCTTGAATTTGAGGGTGTCACACCTAAAACTCTGCTTTTTCGGAGACCAGGTAGGCCCCGAGCAGATTGGGTTGTTGATCCAGGTGCACAAATAAGACGTGTACCAAGAAAGAGGTTGAGGTTCGAAAGGACCAAATCGAGAAGTGTACCAAGGGGCCGATGACATGAAGCCCTTTCTTTGATCAAGCGGTAAAAAGAAGGCCGCTGTCCGTGCGGGTTATGAGCCCAACGTTCGGTCGGTAGCGGGGGGTTTCAAGTCCACCCAGGGCATCCTGTGAGAGGAGCCTGGTTGCTGGTCCCCATGGCCAAGCGCGGGTCGGCGCCGGCAGCTGCGACGGCCTCCTCCGGAGGAGGGCTCCATGGAGAGCGCGAAGGAGGAGGAGCAACTGGCCATCGAGGACTACCCGAGCGGGGAGCTGGTGCTGGCGGAGTCAGTGCCTCGAGGCCCACCTGTGGTCTACGGACCTGCCCGACATGGCGACGGTCGTGAAAAAGAGGGCAAGGGGAAGGGACTACAAGGGAAGGTCGTCACCAACCCCTTTTGGAGCGAGCGACTTCAGAACGAGGTGATGCTCCGGGCCATGCGGCCTGCAGCGCTGCCAACTGCGGAGCCGGAGACGGGGTTCCTTGAGGGTCCCTCGACTTCTGGACGGGTGGAGCCTGGAGAAGAAGGACGAGGGATCTCGATGGACATCCAGGAGCTCTTGAAGGCAGTGATGACACAGAATGCGGCCTTGAAGAAGGAGTTGGTTGAACTCCGGAAGACGGTCGAAACCAAGGCGGCCAAGGCCATTGAGGACAAACCGCGACCACCGACGACTACACCACCACCTTCACCTCCTAAGGCACCGCCTCCAGTGACACCTGACCGTGGGAGAAAGGAAGGTCTGGGTCAGGCATGGGCCGACGTGGAAATTCCGGAATTCCCGGGAGGTGGCATGGAGACCAAGCCGATGGACTCTATGGGGAGAGATGGAATCCAACGAGGCTCAGGAGTACCCGGAGTGCCAGGTTCTTGGGGAGCTCAAGGGTGGGGACTACATCCAGGACGTCAACCAGGTGAAGAACCGGGACACCACGGAGACAGAGAAGGGATGCGAGAGTTGATGAAGGGCTCTCGTCTGGAACAGGCGGCACAGTCCGTTCTGAGGCAGCTTGGGACGAGCTCATCGGACGGGAACTGGGGGGAGGTGATCCGGTCAGTTGAACTCCCGCCACTGCAGGACCTTCGAGAAGGCGATCTGGGCTCGTTGATCCTTGGTGACTGGATCCAACTCATCACGCCGACGATGAAGGATTTGAGTGCCACGAGTTGGAAGTGGTGGGAGGAGGTGTTGAACCTGGCCATGGTTGCCTATCGAGATTGGCTTCAGGCTGAACCTGTGCAGCGCCTGTACATCAGGCCACGAACACCTCCAGAGTGCTCGGGGGTGTGGAGCCGTCTTGAACAGCGAGGTCAACTGATGCTGATCAATGCCGCTCCTCAGAACATCAAGGCGGAGGTGTTGGCGAGCAGGACGACAAGTTCGGTTGAGGTCCTGTATGCACTGTTCAGGAGATACCAGCCTGGTGGACTCGCGGGGAGATCTCGCCTTCTTCGACAGCTGGTGGAACCGAAGGCTCCTCAATCCATGAACGAGGTGGTGGAAGCA